TCAATAATTCAATCCAGCATTAAGCATAAAAAAACCCAGTTTCAGAAAAACAGTATTGTGTTCGAGTTTAATCTTCTTCAACCCCCAAAATGTTCTACTCTTTTATGAAGAAGCTAAACGACAATGTTTGAAATCGCAGAAAGTGGAAAATGAAAGAAATGGTGGGATCTTTGGGAAGGTTGAGAATTAGGGAAGTAGGGGATTTGATTAAAGGGGAATCTAAGTGAGAGGAACCGGCATTGATTGCAGAATTACAGAAGAAGAAGAAAGAGAAAGACCTACAGAGAGACACAAAGAGACGATGTGTTAAAGGGGGTTTTCTCACTTTTTTCTTCTTTTCGATTTCCTTTAATTTTCTTTTCTTTTCTTTTTTTTCAGTCTGTCATTTGAGAAGAATGAGGATCACGGTGTTAAGCTGTAAACATAGGGGTAGGGGGCACATGTGTAAAAAACCGACCTGATTCGAAAAAAAAAAACACTATTCCGTGGTAAATTTGTTTGGATGCAATAATTTAACCTGACTCAATTTACAATAGATTTAACCTGACTTCGTCAAACCTAATCTACACAATTGAATTAACACCTCTAGACGTAGGGCCAAAGGGGCCGAAAAAAAAAAGACCATATAAAAGAGAAAAGTTAGGGAATGAATTTTTGAGTAAAAAACTCCCTCTATCCCTAATTTTTTTTTTCCATTGGACTTTGCACAGTCTATAAGATGTGCCTTATAACATAAATGACTTTATTTTTTATACGCATAAAAATTATAAAAACTTGATATTGATAATATATACAATGAGATGAATCCAATAATACCACACATGACTATTACAGTACTTCTTATCGATTAATAAGAATTTATAGTCAAAACTTTTTATAGTTTGACCCCATTATTTACAATGGGGCAAAAAAATGACAGAAAGTGTAAGTGTTTTGTTCTTGTTATAATATTTACTTGTAAGTTGTAATCATTATATTTCAAACTCAATTCAGTAGTTCAGTGAGCATAATCTCATTTGATAATAAAATGAGTTGGGAAATATCGTTTGGGCAAAAATTAGTGTTGCAACTTGCATATAATAGTTAATGTTACAAACTATTATGTACTCATATTACCTTTGTGTTTTATATGTGCCATGTTACCTTGAAACTTGTTTTAACGTAAATTTTTGGCATGCAATAACATCAAATCATCAATTATGTACTTTGTATGGTTAATAAGATCTCAAATACTACGTATGTTTTTACATTAGTACTCCCTCTGTTCTTAATTGTTTGCTTCACTTTCCTTTTTAAGGTGTCTCCAAAAGATTGCCTCATACTATTTTGGCATGTTTTCCCACTTGCACAGTTGCACTCTCTCTATCTCTCTCCTCATTGATATTTGTGTCAACCCATGTGCATCATTTTTTGCTCAAAGTCTTAATAAAGTAGATTTATAGTTTGAGTCAAACAATTGGGAACAGAGGGAGTAATAGAACAAAAAAGGTTATAGCTGATAATGTCAATAGTATTATTAATGGATGATTCGGAGTAAAATATTATTAATTTAATCCATCTATCTATCTATCTATATATTATACTAAAAGACAAGCGCCTCAATGTGAGGATGACAAATGTCACTCTCTCATTGGCTTATCTTAAATATTAAATATATCTATATAATTATTGTTTACATATTCAAGCATAGTTATTTTTGTTAAACTTCAAACAATAAAAGCAAGTTTCTATACATGCATAAGATTTTCATGATTTCCTAACACAAATATTGATTTAATTTTTTTATAATAAATATATAATTTCCAATACTACAAATAATCCATAAAGTCTTTTCAATCTTTATTTATAGTCAAGTTAAAAAATAATAACTAATTTGAAGCAATATGATTAAACTGGCATAATAAAGGAAACAAATATTTCGTATTTTGAAAGGCTAATTTTTTATTTTTTTTATGAAAATTAAATAAAATCGATAAGAATTTAGTTTGACGTCAATTATGAAATCAATACAAACATTTAAAAAAATCAGATTACAATAAAATATTGTGCACCTATTATAAAAGTCACCATGTAATGAATGAAAGTTATTTATGCTTTATTGATAAAAGGTACCCAAAATAGTCTACAAGTTATCCTAAATTCAATTCAAGTAATCGGATGAATACAAAAGTTTTTGATAAAGGTATAAAATAGTGTAAAAATTACTTTTATCGTTTGTTGTACTCCTTGACAAATACTAAATGCTGGGCCGAAATGTTGTCTTGGAAAAAAATACATAATCTTGAACATGAATTTAATTTTATTCAACCTTTCATTTTCTATACGATGTCTTTTACAATGACATTTTGTTTTTCTTGCATTAAAAAAAAAAATTGAACCAATAACCAATCAAAACAAGAAGAATAAAAGTTAAATTGAATTAGACATTTGACGGAAAAGGGATAGATTAAAATGTATTATAACTATTACTCGTGTTTTAAATTGTAATATTCGTAATAACAATGCTATTACTTATGAATTTTTTTTAGAAAAACTAACATTTTGATTTAAAAATCGTGCATTGCTCATGTACTATACTAGATATACAACAATTATGTGCAATAATTTATGTTGTTTTATACATAATAATACTTTTAACTATAATAGTATGTGTATATAATATAATATTTTTTATAATATAAAAAAGTATATGTATATAATATAATATTTTATAACACGTGTCCTCCATACAAAGTGTTTGGTTGTTGGTGTAGTGGTGATTGAGACTACACTTGGTAGGGAGGACCTGTGTTCGCTCCCCTGCAATAACAATCGAAAGGGGAGTGGAACCTAATAGCCTAGAACAGATCCTCAAATCTGGATTAGCCCAAAGGGTGAACCGGATAGAACACCCAAAACTCAATGCATGTATGACGGGAATTAACTTATCCTTTATCTATCTTATACAAAACTCCAAAGTCTAAACTTTTTTTTTCAAAATATAATAATAACATTTGTAAATTTTTGTTAATATGAAGGATATAAACCTATCAAAATGTAGATATAGTTAAATTGTTTAATAACTTATATCGAATGCGTAGTTTTATTAAAATTATTTGCATGTAATCATTAAATGTGTTGGATGTTGTGTAGCTATGCAATGTCCAAAAATTATAGTTGAGCGACTTTGATTTAGTGATTGTACAGTAAAAAGATATTGACTTCGATCTTGAAACCTAATAGTCTAAATAGAAAAATTAAAACAAAAGGAAATGAAAATAGTAAATGGCTTTAAATATTGAAATAAACATAACCTTTTAAATCAATTTAGCGAATTCAAGAGACAATTTTAAGGCTTTTAAAATTAAATGAGGGAAAATATATGTAAAAAGAACATTTTTAGATATATAAATGTTCATGCACTAATATAAGAGTTTTGTTAACCATTTTATAATTAAGGTAGGGATTAAATCTTAGTAATATATACTCCGTATATTTTATTTATATAAAATTATCAGTATCCATACCTATATACGAAGTATTTGTGTTGTATATTATATTTAATTAGTTGTTGGTTATATATATGACTATTATATAATACTCCCTCCATTTCATTATTGTTAGTCCCATATACTATTTTGGGCGTTTTAAAAAAGATCTACCCATATTGAATATATTTCATTTAAACTTGATTATGTATTGATGACATGACTCTAGGTAAGGAAATTTTTACCTTAAATTATGCAATTATGAATTGTATTTTCCTAATGATTAATCAAAAAAAGTTAAATAAGGTAAATTAATTATGAAATATGTCGTATTTTAATGTTAGAATCCAAATATATTTGTTTTCTTATTTTATGTGATTGATTCCATATGGGATTAACATTATGAAACGGAGGGAGTATATAGTTTTTGGCACAATGCTTAACTTAGGAAAATATATGTTCTGGTAGGTCAAATATAAGGTTATTATTGTGTCTATAGATTTAATGAGTGCGACGGGTAAATAAAACATGTATATATTAGATTGATTGTAGCTACTGATGCGGATGGTATGATAAGAAAATTTTAGTTTTTTCTCAACGGGAGATATAAATAAATTAGTCCACTTCTTATATAGCTATGTGGAGTATTATTCAATTATTTTTCAATTAATAAAATAACATTATAAAAAATTAAAAGAAATTCAAATAACATAAAATACTATTCAAATAACGTTCCTTTAATTTTTTTTATTGACCATTAGTAACCAAGTCTTTTAATAGTAAATGAATTACCTTTGTTTTTATTTTTATTTTTCCTACGAGTTTAATAGTTTGATTTATAAACCGTGCATCGCACGGGCACTATGCTAGTTACAATATTAATTTGATAGTGTTGGTGCAAATCACTTGTAAAAAATAAAAATAAAAATTAAAAAAAAACGTAAAAGAACCAGTGGTATGGATATACATACTACGTATACTACTACTCTACCATACTCTAGAACTAGAATACAATAAGTATGAGATAATTCAAAGTCTGTTTCCCAAGTCAATCCAAGTCAACTCATCCTTGTAAAGACGTCAATACTGTTAGTTACTTTGTTCTGCCTTTGCTTGTCTTCGTTCATTCATCTCCCTTTTCTGAGTCTGAATATATAAATACTTGTATTATATATAACGCCATTGTCACAGTCGACGAAAGAAGCAAACACGTACGAGTAGTTGAAAATGGGCATCGCCATAAACTACTTGTCGATTTTGTTTTTGTGGAGTCTCTTTGTATTTTCTCATTCATCTTCAACTCAGAATTCAGTCTTGCTCAACCTCTTTCATTTTTTCCATAATCTAGAATTCACTCCCGAATGGAATGCAAGCACAAACCCATGTACATGGGATGGTGTGATATGCACCAACAACTCTGTTACCCAACTCCATCTCTCCAAGTTCGACATCAACAATTCAAGTTTTCTATCAATTGCATGCCAAATTCAGTCACTGCAAGTTCTTGATGTTTCCTACAACTTTCTAGATTAAATCCCAGATGATTTCATCACCATTTGTGGCAAACTTCCAAGGCTGAAATCAGTAGATTTTAGTGTGAATTCTATTTCTGGAAAATTACCTAGTTTCAATAAAGGTGGTTTTACCAACTTAGAGTCCCTCCACTTGTCTTATAATTTACTGAATGGAAGCATTGGAGCGCGGTTTGATGGCTTGGTGGCTCTCAAGAGCTTGAAACTTGGCTCTAATCAATTGACCGGGTCAATTCCTAGCAATCTTTTTGGAAATTTGAAGGGGTTACAACAACTTGATTTGTCAGACAATTACTTTCAAGGCAGAATCCCAGAGCACTTTGTTAATTGCAACAACCTCACATATCTTGATCTCTCTTACAATAAGTTGACAGGTACGATCCCTTCTGAACTTGGTTTATGTCAGGAGTTGTTGTCTTTAAACTTGGCGGGAAACAGGTTATCTGGTGAACTGCCAACAGAATTGGGTAATCTGAAGCAGCTTCAGGGGTTGAGACTTGATTACAATAACTTTGTTGGTAAGATACGTCATGAATTCACACAGCTATATAACTTGAAACGCCTAATTATCAGCTGGAACTCGCTGAGTGGTTTAACACCTTTTATCACTAACTTGACTAACCTTCTTTACCTAGATTTGTCTAACAACAAATTTAGAGGTTCAATCTTCCCTTTTATCTCAAACTTGACTAATCTTGAAAATCTGGATTTGTCAAACAACAATTTTAGAGGTTCAATCTTCCCTTTTTTCTCAAACTTGACTAATCTTGAAAATCTGGATTTGTCAAACAACAATTTTAGAGGTTCAATCTTCCCTTTTTTCTCAAACTTGACTAATCTTGAAAATCTGGATTTGTCAAACAACAATTTTAGAGGTTCAATCTTCCCTTTTTTCTCAAACTTGACTAACCTTGTAAATCTATATTTGTCAAACAACAAATTTGGAGGTTCAATCTCCCCTTTTATCTCAAACTTGACTAATCTTAACAATCTAGATTTATTAAACAACAATTTAAGTGGTTCAATCCCTTCTATTATCTTTAACTTGACTAACCTTGTAAACCTGGATTTGTCAAACAACAATTTTGGTGGTTCAATCCCTATTTCACCTTCTATCACAAACTTGAAAAACCTTGAACGCTTAGATTTCTCAAACAATAATATAAGTGGTTTGATACCCAAAAACATTGGTGAAATGTATTCCCTCATTGAAATCCAGTTAGGAGACAACTATCTTAGCGGATATATTCCTTCCATGCCCATAAATTTAGATTACGCTCTGTATCTCAGTAACAATTGTTTCAAAGGACGAATCTCAACGTCACTTAATCAACTGTATTATCTGAAGATATTGGATCTCTCCAACAACAGATTTTCTGGTAAAATTCCAATCTTTTCTTTTGTTGGCTTGTTGCTTTTGCATAGATATGTTCTCTAACTCTCATAATAATCATAAAACTTCAGGTCTCATTCCATCAATTTTTGAAGACATGCTACAGCTCACATATTTGAACTTATCAGGCAACAAGCTGTCAGGGAACATTCCCTCAAGACTCGGGTCAGGGTATCTGAGCTCTCTTGATTTATCATATAATAATCTGTCTGGTTCGATTCCACCAATGCTGCAGAAATTCACATACGAAGCTTTTGCCGGCAATCTTGACCTCTGTGGACAACCAGTTACAGCCAGCTGCGACATTGTGAAAGGAGGAGATGATGAAGATGAAGGCAAAGGCAACTTTTATATAGGGTTGTACGTGAGCATAGGGCTTGGATTCTACTTTGGATTTTGGGGAGTGTGTGGTACTCTTGCACTAAAACATACTTGGAGATATGCCTTCTTCAGCTTCATTTACAGTGTATATAACAGAATGTATGTAACTATAGCTATTTATGTTGCCAGATTTCAGAGGAAGTGTCTGACATAAACACAGTCTGTAGTTTATCATCTCAATATCATTGATGCAGTTTACGTTGTTGAATAAGCTAAGCTATGTTTCAGTGATTCACATAGTATAGCACCACCTACTTCTCCTGATTGATAAAAGTTTTCTTGAATTTCCGGGGCTAGATGTTCCTTCAATCGTTTTTGTTGTTAATCTTGTTATTGTTGTTGGATCATAACATTATGTTCATTGTTTTTTAAGTAATCTGTTTTTTTTTTTTTTTTCTTCTGGAAATCCACTGACCACTGTATGTCTCCATAATCAAGACAGCTGTAGCCTTGAGTCAAAGCAAGTGTTTATCAAATTTAAACACACACTGTATTTTCTCAAGTAACATTGTCATCAGTTTATTAGAGATCAAAGTTTCCTGTAAGCAGTAAGAATGGACACATTCAACAGTACAAATTATGTTAAAGCAAGTAATGTACTATGTACACAAATGGCAAAAAAAAAAAAATAATAAAAAATAAAAAACTTCCCTTCCTCCAATAAAATACAGTGAGGAAATCAATAAAATTCATCAATAAAATTGCTTGCCAAGGGACATTAGTAGTCGTGTTTGGTTTTCGGATTTTCCGAGTTGTATTGTTCCTATTTTGGAGAAAGATCTCCCTATGAATGAAAGGTAAGTGCCTTTGGGCCTCGATTCAAAAAAAAAAAAAGTATTCCGTAATTTTTTAATTTAATTATAGATTAGGAAGAAAATCAGATTAATTTTTATACTCCGTACAAATATACAAAGTATATATATACGTACATGCATATGATATTACTATCAGATGGGGGCATGCAGTTACAAAATACTAATCAACGTGGAAAATGGTTTAGGGAGAGATAGATAGTCTAAATGTAGCACAATTCAGTCAATGCAACTTTAAATAGGGAAGATCCAAGTCTTTGCCTGATTTTTCCAAGTCAATTCAACTTTTGAAACACGCCAATACTCTTTGTCTTCTCCTTCTTTCTTCCTCCCTTCTCACTCTTACCTCTGTTTTGCTCCTCTGTTCTAATTCTTCTTTCTTCATTCTTAATTCCTCCCTTCAAACACTAACATTTTTATCCAACATGAAAATTGACAGCTTCAATTTCTTCTTCTTGTTCTTGTTCTTCATTCTTTTCTTGAATTCGGTTTCTTCACAGCTATCTCCAACGCAGAAATCGTCCATGATCAATCTCTCCAAGCAAATTCACAGCCAAGTGTCCTCTTTCTCATGGGATACTAGCAAAGACCCGTGTACATGGACCGGTGTGGTATGCAATAACCTCAACAGCTCTGTCATCAAACTCTCTCTTTCTAGCTTGAAACTCACCAATTCCAATTTCTTACCTATTGTATGCCAAATTTCTTCCTTGGAGGTTCTTGATGTCTCCAAAAACCTCCTAAACTCAATACCAGTTGAATTTTTGTCGAGCTGTGGCGATATTTCTACGCTCAAATCAGTTAATTTTAGCTGGAACAGAGTTTCTGGTCCCCTACCTTCTTTTGAGAATGGCTTTACCAATTTAGAGGCCCTGGATTTATCTCAGAATTTGCTGAATGGATCCATTGGGACGCAATTAAACGCGTTGGTGAGTCTCAAAATCTTAAACTTTAGCTCAAATAATTTCACTGGTTCCATTCCAACCAACTTCGGAGAAGTCAAGGGGTTAGAGCAACTTCAATTATCAGCCAACAAATTTCAAGGCACTATACCAGAACAGCTTGCTGATTACAGAAATCTAACCGTTCTTGATCTTAGTTTGAACCAGCTCAACGGGAGAATTCCTTCCAAAATTCAGGAGCTCCCTAAGTTGGAAGTGCTAGTGTTGTCAGGTAACAAACTAAGTGGGGAGGTCCCCGATATTTTTTCCAATAACACAAGACTACAGAGATTTGCAGCCAATCGGAACGGTTTTCATGGCAGTATACCATCTGGGATAACAAGGTTTCTGAAGAATTTGGACTTAAGTTACAATAACTTAAGTGGTTCAATACCAAATGATTTATTGTCACAAACAAACTTGCAGACAGTTGATCTCTCTTACAATAGGTTGATTGGAACAATACCTGGGAATGTTTCTTCAAGTTTGGTTCGGCTGAGATTGGGAGGCAATTTACTGCATGGAACAATTTTGCCAATCAATTTCAGTGATCTTCAGAGCTTGGTATATTTGGAGCTGGAAAACAACATCTTGAATGGAACAATACCTGTTGATCTTTGCTCATGTCAGAAGTTAAGCTTGTTGAACTTGGCCGAAAACAAATTATCCGGGGAATTGCCAACAGAATTGGGCTATCTGAAGCAGCTTCAAGTTTTGAGTCTTCAGCTCAACAACTTTGTTGGCAATATTCCTGGTGAAATCACCCAGCTATCCAAGTTGACAAGCCTAAATATCAGCTGGAACTCGTTAAGCGGTCCAATTCCTCCTTCCATCTCAAACTTGGGAAAACTTGGATACCTGCATTTGCAGGAGAACAATTTCAGCGGTTCAATACCAGACAACATTGGCAACTTGAATTCGCTGATTGAACTCCAGCTTGGGAAAAACCATCTCAGTGGGAAGATTCCACCAATGCCCCAAAATTTACAGTATTCTCTGAACCTCAGCCACAATTTATTTCGTGGGCGAATCCCCAAAGCATCACTTGATCTGATGACTTCCCTGGAGATTTTAGATCTCTCCAACAACAGATTTTCTGGTGAGATTCCAAACTTTCTAGTTTTTATGCAGAGCTTGACATGGTTGTTACTTGACAATAACAATCTCTCTGGAGTTATTCCAAAATTTCGTAGCACTGTCATTGTAGATACCAAAGGAAATTTAGGTCTTACTTATCCACCACCAGATAGGCCAAAGACCAACCACCGGAAAATGTCAATTGCTGTCAAAATTGCAGTGGTGGTGAGTGCAGCTCTCTTTGGTGGTATGATCGCGATTCTTGGGGTTATTCTCTCAATGCGACTACTTTACAAGGTTCATGATATAGATGTTCAGTCAAGACAGCCAGATCTTCCCGTCCCTCTGGCTATAGAAAGTCACATCTTGACAACCAATAGCACCCATAAATCAAACATTGATTTTACTAAAGCCATGGAAGCAGTATCAAACCCATTAAACCTTGTCTTGAAGACCAAGTTTTCGACCTACTACAAAGCAGTCATGCCCTCAGGAGTAAGCTACTTTGTCAAGAAACTCAACTGCACCGACAGGATTTTCCAACCAAGCAACCAAGGAAGCTTTGGGCAGGAGCTAGAGGCTCTAGGGAAGCTGAACAGTTCAAACATCATGACTCCTTTAGCTTATACACTGGCTGCAGATAGTGCTTTTCTCATCTACGAAATGTCATTCAAAGGGACTTTGTTTGATTCCCTACATAGAAGTTCAGGAACTCTTTTAGATTGGGTGAGTAGGTGTAGTATAGCAGTCGGGGTGGCTCAAGGCCTGGCCTCTCTCCATGGATGTTCAACCGGTCCAGTTCTGCTTTTTGACCTCTCAAGCAAAACTGTCTTGCTCAAGTCATCGAAGGAGCCGCAGATTGGAGATATCGAGCTTTGTAAGGTGATCGATCCCTCAAAGAGCGCTAGCAGCCTATCAGCTGTGGCAGGTTCTGTTGGCTATATTCCACCAGGTAAAAGATCTATATATTATTCAGTCTTTCCATCTTAAATTACCTAATTTATGCATTTTGTTTTGCTTTTAATATGTTTTTGGTTGGATTTTACTTTCTGTTTTGGTTGGTTTCCTATCATACTTTCAAATTGTAATTTTCTCTGGTTTACAGAATATGCTTACACAATGCGGGTGACACTAGCGGGAAATGTTTACAGCTTTGGGGTGATTCTGCTAGAGCTGCTAACAGGAAAGCAGGCAGTTAGTGAGGGGACAGAATTGGCTAAGTGGGTTCTTAGAAATTCTACACAGCCACAAAAATGGGATCGGATTCTTGACTTCAGAGTCAGTCGGACATCACCATCAGTCAGAAGCCAGATGCTAGCAGTACTCAAAATTGCTCTGGCTTGCATTAACGCCTCATCAGAGGCAAGGCCAAAGATGAAGAGTGTGCTAAGAATGCTGTTGAATGCAAGATGACCACAGCCTAGAAGAACTCAAGTTAACAACAACAGAATGTTGATTTTGAATTAGCCACGAAATTAAGACAGCCTTGGTAATGGTTTTGTAAGATATACGTTAGCTATCTTTACACATGTCAATCACTGCTAGCACCAAATTATTTTTGATATTTTAAAAATGAAAATTGATAAACACAAAGCAATAAGTACAACTTCATATATGCAATGAATTCTCTTTAGCAGATGATTGTATATTGTTTGCAGAATATTCTTCATTTTAACTGTAAATCATAAGACACAAACTCAGCAAAACTGTATCAGATACTCAAAATTCACAGGCGCAAAAAGTGGAACAGGGTATTCACGAATCTTGTTAATGTATAGAAGCACATATTGCAATCTGGAACAACTAACAACATTTATCGTACTTGCTGACAAAAAGGGAACTTCAATGAGAAGTAGGCACTATTGAAACAGGGCAGCCATTATATTAGACATTATTTGTCAATAGTTCATATGGTTAAATATCTCAAATACTGCTAGAACTATCAAAAGACAATGATACATGAAACAGATTAGACAATGATGTGGACAAACAACAATCCAGACGTTTCCGGATTCATAGGAGACCAGCAGTGGAGAAAAACACAAGAGCAATTCTTTCAAAAAAATATTCCATCAGTAATCCAGTCATAAGCTTATAATGTATACTAAATCCTCCACTCAGTTACCAGCACTCGTAATTTGGGAAGCATCATTTGAGGACAGAATATCTCAACTTGGAAGTTATGTATCAAATTCGGAAGGGAGTAAACTATAATGTCAGATCCTTAGGATCCTCAATAATTTGAGCTAGAGTTTGCAAGAAAGCAGCAAGATCAGCACCATATATAACACGATGATCAGCAGTAACATTCACCTGCATCTGGTTCTTCATGCCTATCCGACCATCTTTACTGGCAACGACATTTGGTTGAGATGCACCAACAGCCATTATTGCTCCCTGGAGCATTAAGTTCACAACAGAAAATCCAATCAGTTCTGCTTCCGATGATAAAAGCTTTAAGACATTTAAAAGGGAGTCCATTTCAAAGAACTTACAGTTCCGGGTGGAAGAATAGCATCGAAGCGGTCCACACCAAACATTCCAAGATTAGATAAAGTAAAAGTACCTGAGTAAATTACCAGTATCACAATGAGAATCTCAAGATTACAAGAATAACAAATTTCTGATGCTTGGATATACAAGATGTACATTGCACATTAAAGACATAGATTACTGAAAGAAAGAAAAAAAAAAACTACTTTCATAAAGGTCCTGAAACAGCAAAGAACCTAGCCTCGAGTCCACTATGCTGTAAACTACAATGCTTTCTAAATATCTGGATCATCAAATGCCATCAACATTTAATTGACCACCAAATTCCACCATAAAATTTCAAACTTGCACCAATTGAGAATAGAAGTTCGAGACATGTGTACAAAAACAATCAATCTGAATTTACAACTCTTAAACGTATTTGATAACGCCATCCATTCCAAAGGAGAATGAATAATCTATTGAATGCTTACTAATCCCTATTTAACTCCATGTTCAATTTGTTCATCCTTTATAATTATCACATTGCAGCTTCATGAAAAAAAAAATTAAGGGGAAAAGATGGGCTTCTGAATTTTAGAGAACAATGTTTTGAAAATTTATATACTAGCTTATACAACATGACCCTCCAAGCAACAAGTAGGCCTCTGTTAGGATTAGTGTGGAGATGCATCAATATATGGAGGCATAAGGAAGAATCAAAGAGGAAGCTTGTTGAAGGAAGTTCGACCAAACATACTCTTGAGACAGGGGGTTGTGCAATTTCAGCAAAAGTGAAGGAGTGGTCGAACCACCCTAAGTTCGGCCGAACCACCCTAAGTTCGACCGAACCCTGGGTTGGTTCGGCCGAACCTCTGTGCGACTCTGTTTTACGGTGCGATTTCAGCCCGTGTTACTTGATTAATTGCTAGCCCTTGGATTGCCGTTTATTACCTAGACTATATATAGTTTTGTTTTGCTTCTTCCCTAAGTATTCACAAACTTTAAACACTAAGAGAGGGTTTATGAGAGGTTTTGTGAGGAGCATTGGAATTCTATACAAGTCATGCTTGTAATCTTGATTCATTCATCATCAATACTACTCCATAGTGCAAGGTGGGTTTTTTCTCCCGGTTCTCGGGTTTTCCCACGGTAACTTTGTCTCCCTTTTATTTGCTTTAATTTCTTCATGGTTGTTCTTAGTTGTTGTGCTTGCATGTTCTTCATTGTTGTGGGTTGATTGCAATTAGTTTGAGCCCTTAATCCTTTCAGCCTCCCAAATTCCCAATGCTTGAATGAGATGCCTTTGGACCAAGTAGGCCTCCAAAGGCCCCTTGGGGTCCCCAAGAAACACCTCGATGTATAATCATATAGAGTCAAAAACTGTTCTCTAGAAGCCAAAATTGAAGGATATAATACATAGTATCTGACCAATTTTGGGACTCGGAGTCAAAAACTCACTGAATCGTAGGGGACACATACAAAGTCACATAATGTTGTTTTGAACCATATACATTCATTAGTCGGTCAAATAAAGGCCCGTGGTGGCCTTTTGCCAATGTTTGGAGGTGTATAATAAAATGGCCATACTAATTGTTTAAAGGTAAAGTAGATGGTTTGAGCCGATCAAATGGTCTACCAGGGTCCATGTGAAGCACCCTGACCTCTTTTTTTTTGGATCCCAAAAGTTCAAATTTGTCCACAAGCTATAATCCATGACTAAAGTTAGGGTTTTGGTGTCGATTGTCAAATAGTTTTGGAATCCTAGGGGATGCATCTAGAGATCATATATTGTTATTTGATACCATATTAGACCACTAGTAAGCTAGTATGTCATATAGAGTCCCGTGGTGAATTTGTATTGATGAAGAGAGACGTAAGTTTTAAACGACTAAATTGGTTGTTTAAAGGCAAAGTGGACAGTTCTAACCACCAAAATGGACTCCTAGGGTGTTGTGGTGTCTATGGGAGCAACCCCGACACGTTTCCTCTTTGCGTCCGAAAAGGTCTAAAATTGACCAAAATTGAAGGCTATAATCCACGCTTTTGAGACAATTTTTGGCAATTTTTCCAAAATTGAACAAAATGTGAGGGGTGTTCCCCAGGTTCATATTGCAACCATGAAAGTTATGAATAGGTCTATAAAGTCCTAAGAATGAGTTTGTTTTAGTTATGTGATACGTCTGGAATCATGTTGCATTGGTATTGAAGAGCCAGAAGAGATTGTTTGTTATACAAGTACACACTTATCATCATTGGTGTTTTTTATTATTCTGAAACTCATTATTACAGTATGTATAAACAAAATAAGGGATGTCACACAATCCAATCAAAAACACAATTAAAACCGCTGACCAAATTTCTTGCCTAATTGGTTAATCATGTCATCCCAATCATCTGGTGTCAGGCTGTGGTTCAGCAGCTTTTGAGTATATACTAGACAGAACCAAGGCCCTCTCATCAAGAAATACAATCACGGGAAAATATAATAGATTGTCAACAATAGACCCTATATTCATATGTTCCAAACGGGATGCATTATTAGAAGACTGCCAGACTATGTGCAGAGTAATGTGACCAAGTACCTGTACTGTATTCATGAGGTTGCAACTGCTTGGCCCGAGCCTTGTCAACCAACTCCTTCCACTTTCTAGAAAGTGTGTAGATATCAACCTATGACAAAAATTTATGAAAACAATTAGATCCTTTGGCAGTTTCAACAAAACCAATGATAAATTTAGTAACTAGCAAAACTATCACTACCCATCAACCAAAAATAAAATAGTAATGGTGATCAGGTGATCACGAATTGAACCTTATCAGCATCTTGGAGCACTGGGGTAAGCAATCCACCATCCATCGCCACAGCAACCGCAATATTAATATGGCTATTATAAGTAAAGCTTTTTCCATCTCTACAGCTTGAATTCACCACAGGATGCTTAATTAAAGCCAAAGCTGTTGCCTTTGCTAGCAATGCCGTCATTGTCACCCCCTTCGACTTCAACTAATCATCCATTCGAATCAAAAACAAACATTCAGTGATTAACTCCACTAATCAATCAATTAAACCAAGGATTATTCCGGTTAAAATACCAAAAAAGTAATCACACCATCTCATTTATTGTCTTTAAAATTAAGATAAAGAGAACATTTCATCCCATAATTCAGTGAACTAATTATCTTCAAACTAAACATAGCACCTGCTCATAGCATATTATTCCTCTAATCAATCAACTAACCATAGAATTTGTTCCACTAACAATCAAATTGATCATTTTGCAATATTTTCAAGTTTTAAAATATTCAAAATCAATCACCCCATTAAGATTAAAACATCAAACTAAAACCTAACAATAAAATCAATTATCAAATTATGATTAAACTCAAAACTCACCTTCTTGTACAAAGCATCAAGAGCATCAGTAGTAATAGTATATCCAACCCTAAATGTAGGCACACTAAGACTCTCCACCATATTCCTACTCACAGCATTCTGCATTGTCGTAAACGGCACCGTTTCCCCTAACTCCACCGCCTTCGCCACCGGAGCATCCTTCGAAACAACCTTCTTCTCAGCCGCCGCTGCCGCCGCCGCGTCAACATCCTTAGCAACAATCCTCCCTTGAGGCCCACTCCCAACCACACTCCTCAAATCAACCCCTAATTCCTTCCCTAATTTCTTCGCATACGGCGACGCCACCACTCTCTTCCCTCCCTCCGACGCCGGATGAGTCGAAACACTCAATCCTCCCTCCTTCTTCTCCTCCTTCACCACCGGAGCTTTGAGACTCTCCCTAATTTCCACTACTGCCGGAGATGGCGGAGACTCCGAAGAATTAGAAGCCGGAGGCGAAGCATTCATAGCCTTAGCAATGGCATCGGCGATTTCGGCTTCAGACTCAGCAAGAAGAGCAATGGCGGACCCAACAGGAGCAGAAGACCCTTCATCAACAATAATCTTCGCGAGAAAACCATCGTAGAAGGTTTCAACATCCATGTCAGCTTTATCAGATTCAACCACAACAACGGAATCGCCCTTTGAGAGCTTATCGCCTTCGGATTTGATCCAAGAGACGATTTTGCCCTCAGTCATGGTGGAGGAGAGTGCTGGCATGAAGATTTCGCGGATTTTGGCCCGGATTCGGGTTGTGGGTCGGGTTGCGAGGAGGTGGGTGGGGAGGCGTTGAGTGTGGCGGAGAGAATTGGATGATGGGAGGAATGTTGTGGTTTTGAGGTTTAATAGGTTCGCCATTGTTGAAAGCTCTGTAATTTGTGTGTGTGATTAGATTAGAGGAGAGAGAAAGAAGAAGGGAGTGAAGAGAGTGTTGTTGTTTTTGGGTTTGAGAGAGAGCCTCGATTACATCGAAGAGAAAAGCAGGGGAAGGAAGAGTTGAGCGAAACTTGAACTAACTTTCACCTGTTTTTGATCATTCTGGTTATTGCCCGGGGCTTTTTTTTTTTTTTTTCAATATCTTTTTATTCCTCATTTTTGCAAATTTTATTTTAAAATTTTTATATTATTAATTTATTATTATTGATTATTGATACTAATAAAGTAATAAGTCATATAAATATTATTAAAAAAAACATGTAAGTATGTAATAAGTTATTATAAACTTTAATACTTCTTTATGTGGATGTCAACTAGCTTAGTTGGTTAAAGTCTTGGAGGTGATACTTAAGACTTGTGACTAAATATTTGCTACATTACTGTCTATGTGGCTCTTTTTACACTTTAAAAACATATAAATTTGTAGAATGGTAGAAAGTGTATGAGAATATGTCTAAACGAGCATAACATATTAGGTGGTTTAGGTTTTGGCATGCAATTTATTCATTTGTGGTTAAGGTTTTGGATATACTTAAGTAGGAAGTGTTCAAGATAAGCATATGACCTAGGAAGTTGATTCATACTCTATTATGAGTACTTGAAGAGTATATGAAATTTCTAATTGACTTTAGATATGGAAAAATTGTCATGCACTTAACCACGAGATACAACATTTGAACTATAATCAGAATCACTTCACCTGGTTTCTGACCTAACCCTCTAGACTAATAAGGATTGTTTTACATAAACTTATAATTATAAAAAGGTTATTGACAACCAAATATAAAGACTATTGTGTACTAATAAAACTCAATCTAAACGACCTGATTGTAATCCTGGCACCGTGCCGTGCCGGGCCGCCGCGGGCCGTGCCTGGCGGGCCCAGGATTTCGTGTCGTGTCGTGCCGGCCATTTTCACAGGCCAGCCCACGGCACGGCACGACCCTCGTGCCTGGCGGGCTCGTGCCGTGCCGGCCACGTGCCGGCCTGCGGGCTGGCCTGCGCGGGCTGGTGCAGTTTTCATTTTTTTTTTTTTTTTAATGACAACATTATAAATTAATAAGTTTATAATGTATATAAGTTATAAAATTATAATTATAAGTTTTATAAGGTAACTTATAAGTTATAAGTTATTAAGTTATGAATTTTATAATTATAAGTTGAATATTTATGTTTTATAATTTGTATATTCAATATTTATATTTATATATTTACTTTATACTATTACTTTAAAATTTAATGTTTATGATTTATTAGTAATTGGTATAATTTTATTTTTTTTTAATATGAATTTACAAATTGTAACAAAACGGGGAAAAAAGGCAAATTGGACTTTGGATGTGAATAATGCGTACTTTATATTATTATTACTTGAGTTGAGAAAATTGTACAATGATAACAATGATAAAAATCATACAATGATGGTATTAAACAAAAATTGGAAAATGATAAAATTGATATTTTTAAAATCGTACAATATACAATAATTGTCTATTCTTCTTCTCCTTCTTCTTGCTCGTCTTCATCTTCGTCTTCGTCTTCGTCTTCGTCTTCGCCTTCGCCTTCGCCTTCAAGGTCATCGGCTAGTTGCATAGATTGGGAACTAGCCGAACCCGAACCGGAAGCGGAGGTTCCTTCTTCGTTGTCGTTGTGGTCGTAAGAACGGTCTTGTGAGCGATTTTCCGCATCCAACCAATCTTTGAAACACACGCACATTTCTAGTGTTTCGGGTTTTAGACTTGTTCTTCTATCGTCTAAAACCCTTCCGGATGCGCTGAAAGCTCGTTCGGAGGCGACGGAGGAAACTTGGATAGCAAGAATGTCTCGTGCCATTGCCGCCAAAGTTGGATGCTTCGAGCTTTGTTGTTTCCACCATGCAAGGAGGTCGAGGCTGTTTATCTCATCGTCGTCCATGCCTTTGGTGAAGTCGTAACTCAGGTACATCTGCAACTCCGAGACGCCGCTTTGCGTTCTCCTGATTGATGAATCACCTGAAAACCTTGAAATCAAGTTAGTAGCTTGTGAAAATAAATGTTTGGCCTTCTTACTTACGTTTTTGGATGGTTGGGAAGGCCCTAAGCGAGGAACGGTGCCATATTTGGCTTCATAGACTCTATATAAAGCAAAAAACTGATCCTTCACATTAGTCTTATAGTTTTCTACATCATCGTCAAGAAACATGCATTGAAAGTAAATGTCAACTAACATAAATGTGTTTTCATACTTTTGCCTAGGATCTAATATGGAAGCAAAAATATAAATCAAAGGAATCTCACTATAATATTTACGCCACTTTTTTTCCATTGCTGGAAGATACTGATCATAATCACTTTGATCGCGATGATCAGCGAAAAGTTGGGCGAGTAAGCATGCATTAGAAAGAAAGTTTTGAGCACAAGGATTGTAAACAGTAGAAAAACAATACGTCATGTTATATAATAACTGTAAAAATTGCATATATCTTTCACAGTTTTTCCAATCATCATCATACAAAGCATTTTGTGGAAATTTTTGGTTGTAAAATAATGTTAACGGGCCCTTGTACTCAATTGCCTTTGTTAACATGTCATAGGTGGAATTCCACCTAGTTGGGCAATCGGTTCTAATTTTTATTACCCTTATCTTTTGTTGTTTTAGAAAACTCTTCCATTCTTGGTATCTCATGTTAGAGCTATTAATAGACATAATAGCATCTCTGATTTTGCTGTAGTATGGGCCAATTGCCCGAACTCCATCCTGTACACATAAGTTAAGTACATGGCAAACACATCTAGTATGAAGAGCTTCACCGTCTAATAGTACATCGGTTAAGTTTTGTTTGATAAGATTAGCTGTGTATGTCATAGAGGTTGCATTATCAAAAGTCATAGACATCATTTTATCTCGAAGGTTGTATTCGTCTATTGCTTGCATTAAATGGTGAGCAATGTTAATGCCGGTGTGTGGGTATTCCAGCATTTTGAAATGTATTATTCTTTTTTGTAACATCCATTGATCATCTACCCAATGGCAAGTCACACATAAATAGTGATATTTATAACCACTATCCCAAGAATCGGCTGTTAAAGATACTCTACAGTTAAGGTTACTCAATTCGGCTTGTAACCGGACTTTGTACTCTAGGAAATTTTTCATTGCGGCGGAACGAACGGTTTTCCTAGAGATTCTTTTATGTTGGGGTTGTAGTGCTTTGTTAATGTAGGTGTTGAATGCGTCACTTTCCGAGAAAAGAAAAGGTTGTTCGGCGTGTACTATCATTTTTCCTAGTTCATCCCTATCCCTCTCATAGTTGTATGTAAAGCCGTATGGATGGAATTGGGAAATTTTGGGCTGGGTTGGATCACTAGCTGGTTTTGCACAAGCTTTCATGTGTCTAGATAAGTGTCCCGTCCCGTTTTTGGTAACTGCCGTGAATACACTATTACATGTTTTACATTTTGCCCATTGTTCACCATCTTTACTTAGGACAAAATAACGCCATACCTCACTCCTTCGGTTTTTCAAAAGTAGCATCTCAGTTTCGGTTAACCATTCATGATGTGTGTGATGGTTAGTAGTGGGACTAGTGGGAGTGGCAGTAGAAGGGGTAGAACCGGAGGGAATTCGGGTACTTTCTTGGCTACCTTGGCTAGAACAATAGTTTTGTTGATTACCGATATAATTAGGTGGAAATTGGTATGGTGGTAGTGGAAATTGGTTTAGTGGTGGTGCTGGAAATCCCGACGTATTATATGGCTCATAGCCCGGGGGGAAGTAAATGGGGTCATTGGTTTGACTCGTAATTTGGGGGCTCGTTGTATTTGGTGGTTCCCTAGAACTACTACTACGGATAAGTTGGCCTTTCCCCCTAGACCTAGATGATGGGTTGTTCGATGCCATAATTAACAATTAATTTTTTAATAAAAAGTGGTTAACTATAATAATAATAATTAATAACAACAATTTTAACAATAAAAATATCAATAATATTAATTAATAACAACAACTATAACAATAACAATAACAACAAAAATAAATAATAACAACAATTGTAACAATAATAATAATTAATAACAACAATTATAACAACAACAATAACAATTAACAACAATAATAATTAAACAAGATTATTCTAATAATAACAATAAAACAATAATAAATTTAAGATTAGTTTAGATCTTACAACCGTGCTTCAACGCTCCACTAATTACGATTACGAACTTTTTAATTTTTTTCGATATTAGGAAAATAATTAGAGAATTTAAGAGAATAATTAGAGAATTTAAGAAAATAAGGATTATTAGAGATTTAGAGAATATAAGAGATAAGAAGAAGAGATTGTGATTTTGTGATTTGGGAATGAAATGGAGGTGAGTATTTATAGAATTTTTGGCAAAAAACTAGCCGTTTTATAGCCGTTGGCCCGCGGGCCGTGCCTGCGGGCCATGCCCGTGCTCGTGCCGGGCCGTGCCTGGGAATTCTCAACCGTGTCCGTGGCACGGCCCGTGGCACGGAAGTTGAACTTCGTGCCGTGCCGGGCTGCGCCGAACGGCGGGCCGTGCCGGGCGGCACGCGGGCCAACCCGGCCCGTGCCCAGGTTTACCTGATTGTCACCTTTAAAAAAGCTTTAAAAACCCATCCTCAATTCCTAGCATGCCTCCCATTTTGCAAAATTGCCAAGACTCCGAAGTCCAAACTAAGACCAAAACGATCCATCTTCTTCTTATCTTGTTAACGGGGCGAAGTGAGAAAATGTTGGGCACTGCTGCATCCATCTTACAGTTACACACACCTCTCTCTTTCCCTCTCAATAACAAATGGAGCACCAAATCACCATTGAAATACAAGAAGCTCCAAGTATTTTCCTCAGTTTCTTCGAATACCCAAACAATTACTGAGCAGGTTTCTTCAATTCCTGGGAATTTATCAGGGAAAGCAAAAACTAAGGAAAGGGTATTCCTTTTGGATGTAAACCCTATTTGCTACAAGGGGAGTTCACCCAGTTTACACTCTTTTGCTCACTGGATTTCTCTCTTCTTTTCTGAAGTCAGCCTCAATCATCCTGTTATTGCTGTAATTTTCTCTTTTCTAATCTCTTTGGCTGATTCTTCTGTTGTACTGATTTTGAGCTGAGATGATTAATTTGGAATTTTGATGTTTATATTTCAATTTTATGATGGTAGGGTTAAGTTTGAGATTGTGGGTACTATTTCAATTTCAGAAATTTGGTAAAAAAGAGTTGAATTGATTGTTTTATGAATTCTATATAAATGGTTAATGCGTTTTAATATAATCTTTGTTGCTTAAGAGTTTTGAGAATTATCAGATAATGTGCTTCCCCACAGAAATGTAGTGTGGCTGTAGAGTTTAATAGGAAAGACGTGAATGAAGGATTATAGGAGAGTGTTAAGAAAATTTTTATTAGTGAAGGGGAGTTGGTAGTTAAATTTGAGAGCTTTGGGTAGAAATTTTATTGGCTATGATTTTTATTGAAACCCAAAAAATGGTGTGCCTTAATATGTAATTTCCAAGTTCAATGCTCCCAATTGGTGTTGTGGGAAGTATGCATCAATGTTTTACATGCATTGTGATGTTACTTGCATAATATAGTGTGTTTGAACTAGCATTGATCAACGCACCCTTAAATTTGAGAAGAGAATGGATATTTATTTAAGCTTGTTTGTCTAGATGAATAGATTCATGTAAGGTATATCTTGCTAAATCTGACTTTTGTTGCTAGAATGCTAGATTGCTTTCATTTGTATAAATTTAAGCCTGGAGCTAAGGCTATATGTAGAAGTGTAAGAAATAGAACAACAATGTGTTTACTATGCTTTCAATGTAGATTTCGTTGCCTATTTATCGTCTCCATCAAGGATGTGTTATGCTAGAAGAGTCATAAGCTCTTTATTTCATGTTTTGATGGATGCTGTGTAAATATCCAAATAAATTTTGGATCTTGATTTAAGAAACATGGATTGTTGACTATTAGGTGTATTAAATTCATTGGTAGTCTTATTTTCAAAACATGTCAATTGATGAAACATGTCCTTCTAACTGATAAAACTATAAAAGGGTTAGAGGTGAAAGTAATCCTATTTGTTTGAGTGAAATGCTCATATAATTAGTGTTTATCATTTACTTCCTCTATCCCACAATGTTTACTTAATACTGCTCCTTTTCAGAATGTCAAAAAATATGGTGAGTTGCTCATCCATTTAATTTACTTTCTCCAAAAGATGAAACTTTTTTACTGAATATATGTAAGGGTTAGAGGTGAAAGTAATCCTATTTGTTTGAGTGAAATGCTCATATAATTAGTGTTTATCATTTACTTCCTCTATCCCACAATGTTTACTTAATACTGCTCCTTTTCAGAATGTCAAAAAATATGGTGAGTTGCTCATCCATTTAATTTACTTTCTCCAAAAGATGAAACTTTTTTACTGAATATATGTAAGGGAGCTTATGATATTTTGTTTTCAATAGAACTATCTATAGCAAAGAGTAATCATGGATAAAAATTTGTACATTCATGAATAGTAGGACTCAATGTCCCAATTCGGTCGTTTTTAGCTCTATGATATGATTTTGTATGTCAGCTGAACATAGGCTTAGTTGTAAAAGCTACGAAATATTAAAGAAAGACTGAAGTGAAGGATGGGCGAAATACAACTAAGAATAAATTTATTTTGTAGAAGAAGGGGATGGTCTGATACAAAGAAGGTGGGCTTGAATACAAGGAAATGGGTATGCTACTTAGTACATGCTAGTAGTTCTTTTTAAGGTCGATTATTTTGTAAAAATAATCTTCAATATACTCTAGGCTGTCTGTGAAGAATAAAAAACGCTTTGCACACTAAGATGATATCTGGAGGGCCTATGTGCTGTCAAATATTGAACAAGGCTTGACTGACATTGAAATAGCTATTTTTGTACCATGTACATTGGACCAAGTATTGACTTTTCATGCTTACTTCATTGTGCAACCATCACTTCTAAGTAGGTGCTGCTGTAAGAAAATACTTAAGCAGTGTTTATCCTATGGTTATCTTTTATGAGACTGTATGTTTCAGAAGAAAGATGACAAGTTGGCATGGAAACAACAAATAGTTTGTGTTGGAATTTGGAACACACTTTTCCTTTGTAACAATATCTTTATTGCTATGGTACTTTGTTTATGCATGAACCGTTGATTTTTACCTGAAAAAGATTTGTTCTTTGTTAGGTACTCGATGGGGAAGGAGGTCATGAACACCGCAAACAAATATTACCATCTTATAAAGCACACAGGCTTAAATATTTGAGGCGTATATATACATCAAAGGGATTCGAACAGCTTCCAATTGGAAGGTCACTAAAACCTGTTATAGATCTTCTGAAAGACTGTAATGTGCCGGTAAGGTGAAAATAATTTTTCTTTTACTTGTTTTCACTGATTTTTCTAAATTTCTTATATGTTTGTCCGCTTCAAATCTTCTACTAGTTCACTAAAAGAAACTGTAACTTAAAGAATATCATTAAATAACATGCCGTTTCCTTAGTGCAAAGTTGCATCATGCTCTCATGGCCAAACTGCCAAAGGAGGAAAAAAAAAAAAAAAAAGAAAGAAAAAGAAAAGAAAAAAAAAGGGAATAAAGAGCAAAAGTGAATGGCAATCGCTCTTGTGCTGATTTGATATTTCATATAGGTTGCCTAAGAATCTCAAGGACATCAATGTCGTCCTTTATACCTGGCTCTTTGGCTCTTCAGTCCCCTTCTTTTGGGCGGGTGTTGTGTGTGTCTTAGGTGCCTGGGTGGTGGATTGCTTGGTGATGGTGTAGCTTGATTCTCTTACTCCCTCTTTTATCTCTGCTGGTTTCAGTTAGATATTATTTAATATCTTAGACTTAGAGTAACATTAGGCTTCAAATCTGTAAACAATAGAACTGGAGGATTAGTGTCGGATTTCTCAATGAGGTTATACAGGACACCTTATGTTCAACTAAGGTGTCTGATCCTCTATGCCTATTATTGCTAATTTAACTCACACATTAATGTCATACAGGTCTTAAAACTTGATGGTCAGGAAGCAGATGATGTTATTGCTACCCTTGCTAAAAAAGTCTTAGATAGAGGAAAGAGGGTGGTCATTGCTTCACCTGATAAAGATTTCAAACAATTGATTTCAGAAGATGTGCAACTTGTTCAACCCTTGCCTGAGCTCAAAAGGTGGTCCTTTTATACACTGAAGCATTATATTGCTCAATATAGCTGTGACCCGCAGTCTGATCTAAGTCTACGTGAGTTTTCTGATCATCTTCCCTTTATCTTCAGTTAACACATGCTATTTTCGCTGTCTTTGCAACTTGTGACTTTCCTGGTATTGTTATCATTAAATTGCAAAGAACAAAAGGGTCTTGCATCCCCCCCCCCCCCCCACACACACACACCATAGAGCGTTGCCCATGTGTAGGGCGTGTTCTCCTTAAAATCTACTGTCATATCCAGGAAGTCCCCTAATCTCAAAACAATCGCCAATCCTATATATTACAGCAACAACAAGGTGAACACTTACTAAGTACATGAAGCAAATCAACAAAATGATGTAAAAACTTATCACAAGCAAAAGTCATGATTTCATGGTAGCATCTATTGTAGGGAATCTAGGGATCTACATCAACCAAAACTGAGTTTCTTGCATATTTTCGCTGATTAATTTGCTATCTAGTATCTACTTAGCATTGTTTTGGCATTTGTTAAAGCTGTTATGAAGCTTGGGAGGACGGGATAGAAGGCTTTTATGCTTTTTCTTTGTCATCAAGTAGATGTTAAGGAGAAATACTGTGATTATGATGCTAATATGAACATTTTTTTCCCTAAAGTTCAAGATTTGCTTGCGTTTAGGACATTAATTTTGCAGAATAATTTACTATTATACAGGGCCAGGAGGACCAGAACACATATTTCTAAAATGTTGTAGATGCATATGGAACTGAAGTTTTAAAAAATTTACACTTACAGAATAAAGAGCACTATTTTACTATCTAAAAGGAAAACTGCTAGACTTTGCTAGTAAATTTTTCTGAGTCTGCTGGTTATTCTTTTTTACGAAGTATACAATTTCAGAACATGTTTACTTTAGACTTGATTGACACAAGTATAATCATCAATATGAATTTCGTCTCAGATAAGTATTCTTTTGGGGTTGGCTTACTAATATTTTCTGAAGGAGTTCCATTTTTGTAGGATGCATTATTGGCGATGAAGTTGATGGTGTTCCTGGAATCCAGAATCTGGTTTCAGGATTTGGTCGGAAGACTGCTCTTAAACTCATTAAAAAACATGGATCTCTGGAGAATTTATTGAATGCAGCTGCTGTGAGAACTGTTGGAAAGCAATATGTCCAAGAAGCCCTAACAAAATATACATTTGAGCTTAGAAGGAATCACCAAGTTCTTTCCTTAAGGAGGTGAGTTGACTCACGACAATACGCTATAGTTATGTATATCTTTTGATTGCTGTAGAAGTTAGATCTTAAAGATTGATCATATGGCTTTATTCTAGGGACATTGATGTGTTTCTTGAAGAAGAGTGGTTATCCAAAAGAGACACAACAAATGATTTGGTTACCATAACAAATCTGAACAACTTGTTGAGAGGAAGCTAAATCCTCAATTCTCAGATGTAGGATCCTGCTTATCGATATGGTAAATTCGAGTATGCAAGCTGTATATCCATATTTAAGGTTTGTTTTATTCATCATTTTAGTGGATCCCCCCCCCCCCAACACACACACATACACAAATCTACACCCTTAAGTGAAGTGTTGATTGAATTTACCAATGTTGTAATTGCTTATGTTCTGTCTCTAAAGAATTTGATTCCTGCAGGTGAGAGGGTGCTTGAGTAATTTATTGCTGTACCATTCTTGCCATCTGTCCTGTGACAAGACCTGCTCGGGTAATCCAAATGAAAAAAGATGATGATTTCCATGATGGCATGAGAGAAGATAAACGGATCGGTGAGATCACAATCTTTTAACATATATATTGGCCTGCTAATGCAGTTGCAACTGGAGCTTAAAAGATCACTTTTAACTTCTGAGTAAATTTGATTGTTGCTCTATGTTACTTGCACTATTTTGTCACACCTTAAGTACCCATTATAGATCCTCAGCATTCCAACAAAGGCATAAATTCATATAGATCAAACATATATTTTTGTGTTCTTATGTTACAGATTTTAAAAAGCTGGCCCTTGCATGCTGTTCATTTTACTTCATTTACAACGTGGAACAGAAATAAAAGATGGATAATGTGTTTGTGCTATCAGCCTATCATCAGTCATATTGATTCCCTTCACTATCATGCATTTAATATGTAATTGTATTTTTCTTAATTGTTGCTGTAGGTGTTGCCCGTTGTCCATGTATTGCTTAAAGCTAACAATCAACAGCCAAAGATCAAGAAAATCTTTTGCAGCCCTCCTGTTTATGTGTTACTGCAACCGGTCTAATCCTGAATTCGTTGTCATATATCTGTTGCTTACTTCATTGGCTCGATATGTATCAAGCACAGGGGTATTTTTCTGTTTGCTCAAAGTCGTCTTTGTATATCCTCTTTGGCATTTTCGTTACTCGTTCAGATGTCTTCTATTTTGTGCAGTTGCGAAGTTGGAAAATTTTTGTGTGAGATTTGGATGGTGTAGTCGTGGAAAAATATGTGGTATATATGTTTGCATGCGGCTCCCGTGGACATCAAAAATTCGTCATTGCAAATGTCATTTTTGGGAAGGACTAGTCATATTATTCATTTTTGGGTCCATTGCTTTTACAAAAATGTTTGTTAAGGCTTCATTTTCATCTTTTCATCTCTTATTGGATGGAATTTTGGACCTACCATTTTCTGGTTGAAGATACTTTAAAAATGGCAGTGAAAGATAGTACCCTGTGTGATAGTTATAAAATTACTTCTCATTTTAGGCTAGTCTAGCCATGTATGGTTATAGATTCGGCAAAAGGTGTGACCGCCTTAATGGGATAATTGATTAGAATCCACATGAAATTTTAGGGTTAGCTGTTCTTTGTTTTGGGGCTAAACAAGATTGATTTCAAACGAAACTTCAGAATCAGAAGCACAGAATTACTTGTGAAAGTTGTGTTAACTTAATTTGACCCAAAAGCAACCCGAAAACCAATTTATACCATACTCGAATGTACTTAAATCCATTATGAACTTACTCAACCTAAAATGACTAGGCTGATTCGATTGGAAAATATGTTAAATTGAAAAGTTCTCTATTAAGCTAAAGTTCACGATCAAGTTCAATATGGTGGTAAGAATAATAACTTGACTTTTCACTTGCTTGAAGAGTTTTGTATCTTACTTTTCTCAAAGATTGGATCATTAAACTAACATTGTACTTGTGCTACTAATCTCCCACCTAAGTTTGGCGATTGGCTAGGTATGCTATAGATAGTTTTAAAGTCCCTTTTTCAGTCTCCAATTGGATTGAGAATGACCTAAGCAAGGAGAAGATGCAACAACTAACAAAAAGTACTTCGTACCATGTCAAATAATCCACCCCTTCAACAAAAATAAATCCCTTCCCACATTAACCATCAAAGTGGAGTGTGGACATATTACAAAGTATGCATCATCTTTTCTGTAATTTAAAATCTTAAAGCAAAGTAACAAAAAGTGGGTTATAATTATTTGGATTTTTGGGTGGAAAAGTTTGAGTTTTATGTATGAGCAAGTTTTAAATTAAGTTTGATCATATGATATTTCCATTTATAAAAACAGTCTTTGCCTAATCTACATACTTGTATTAGTTGTATATTGTTCTTTAATTTGCTTCCACATTTCAAATTTTATTTATTGTGACTAATTAATTAAGTAATTACACCATATACTATAATGTTGTTGTTAAACCCTATTTATTATTCTTAACAATCACTTACCAATCATATAATTCATAAGGGATTACTATCTAAAACTAAAATGTTGTTAATTACCACTCCAAATTTTATTAAAGATGTAAGTATTTCAATTAATGAATTGCAATTTTTAATTTTAACTTACCAAAAAAAAAAAAAAAAGTAAAAGCAATTTTAAGTTAAATTTAGAATGAATAAAACTTGACAATCCAACCCAATCCAATGTTTGATTATCTTCCATGACTATTGGTCATTTATGGCATTATGCAATTTTGTCTGGTCGAAAAAGAGCAAACGACAAAAGTTAACCAAAATAATTCACTAATTAATATAAGTAGGTTTAATTAACTTCTGATTAGCTTAAGGCTGGACAGTATTAAATTGTTAACTTTGACTTTGCTTCCTTCCAATTAACTTCAATTGTTCATCGATTCTCCCACTCTGAACCTTCCTCGCAGGTGGCATAGCTTCCTAGCAACCTCCAAAGATCACAACTTTTACATATATTTTTCTTTAAGAATTGCTCTTTTTTTTTTCTTCCAATAATTAGAATATCAACTATTAAGTGGGAAATCAACTCAAGTTTCAAAGATCAAAACTTTAATCATCTGGGTAAAAAAAAGTTTATCCCTTTTTTTTAATTTTTTAATTAAAATTTTGTTTTTATATATAATCGTGAATCATGAATTCATGATGATCATGTTTATGAGAATGAGACCCACCAACAAACGGTGGTGATTGAGACTTGGACTTGATGTAGTGGAAAATTAACGGTGATGATCAAATAGTTGACTCACTTTGGTCCCACATAGTGTATTACTGTTGCTTGGGGCGGGGGGACTACCATAAAATGCTGCCAAATTGCTACTAATACATTGAATCCCTTTTTATTTCTATTTCTATTTTTATTATTAATATTTATTTATCTATGGTATTGATTTGTTGGGTGCTTATCTAATTGATCTAGTTGAACTTCAATTCCTCTTTTCAACATCTGGGTAACTTTCTCTCTCTTATTTGGATGGAAATTAGGGCTCTGAGCTGACAAAAAGGATTCTTTGGCAACCCTAAATCTGGTGAGTTCTGTTTTCTTTTTACTCCTTATACAAAAGATAATTTTTTTATTTTTTTTTCATAAAGTTGATTTATATTATCTATTAAATTGTTTGATGTACTTGCTTTAAGTTCAATTTCTGGAATTTTGTGAAGGGTAAAGATCTGTGATGTTTATTTTAGTTCATTTAATTGCTGACATTCTTGAAATTGTGTGTTGACCTTTAAATTTTGATGATTTTTGAAGGACTTATATATATTATATGCTTAATAGAAGTTGGTTCTGGATGTTGAGGCCATAATTTAGTAATCCTTTGTATTTGTATGTTGTTCAGAAATTGCATCTCTTACTGTCTTTGATTGGTTAGGGCCTTAGGGGTAAGGTTGTGCACATCTCTGTGGCCCTGTACTTGCATAATGGTTCAAGAGTATCTGTGTAGGTTGGTGGTTGTACTTGTATGACACCTTTTCTTGCTGCAAGAATTGGGCTTTTCCTTTGATTTTCAGACATTTTGGGTGTCTTTTCTTTAATCTGTATTATGGTAAACTGGCCGGATCTAATTTCAATGATTACAATTATAGTATAAAATGCTGAACAAAACCATAAGAAAGCATAGAGAACATGAAAATCCTTCAATATGAGTGATAAACCACTAATAATGGATAGAGTAAACCACTAATAATGGATAGAGTATACTATTTAAGAGTATATCTAGTATAGATGGGCTAGATGGCTAGGCTCAACCAGGTTGATTCTGCAGTTGAATACGGTCATATGGGTGTAACGAGTAGCAGCCTGTTGTTGGCCCTTGTTGCCTTTTATAGATTTATTTCATGTGCACCAATTGCTTTGATTCCTATTACTGACAGATCGTGATTCTTACTGTTCAAATGTTATCAGTCTCTCACAGAGTTTCTGGATTTTGAAGATATGTTGGGTTTGGTTGAAAGATAAGGTAGAGCTTGGATACAAAGCCAGAAATTTTTGGGGTGGGGAAAGGGGACTTGGGGGGAATGGGGGTGGGGAATTGTGTTGATTAATAAGTTTGTCTTTACTTGATGAAGACTAAAATGCTCTAAAATTTTATATGGCTTATATCTCATGACAAATTTACAGACCAATCCAAAGTTTGAACCGCCATCTTTTCCCTGGTATAGCAAGATTAGCTACCCAGGAGAATGGTGCTTATTCTTCCATAGACATAGGAGTGATGGAATACTGTAGATTGTGGCTATTGTGTAAGTGAAACGTGATATTATTGGAGCTTAGAGATAATGGAGAATAAAGGAAGATATCATGATTTTTTTTTCTTTTAGTATTTTAAACATGAAAGAAGTGCAATAATTGACATGATTTTTTTTTTTTTTATAATTAATTTTTTTTTTTTTTTTTTTATCACATGGAGAATATTTTAAAAGAGAATATATAAAAGGCTGATATATGAGATAAGTTTAACTTCATTTGGACTGCAATTATCTACCCACCTAATCTGTGTAATTGTTGAGAGTTAGAAGTGCATAACAAGATGATCAAATTAATGACTTTTTTTTTTTTTTTTTTTTTTTTTTTTTTGAGGACATCTTTGAATGACAATTATAAATATAGAGCAAGTCTTTTTGCTTAAGGATGACCTTTAGTTTTTTTAGCTGCGTTGGCTGATAAGATTTTTGTGCTCTTTTGCTTACCAGATGTTATCAGCAGTTGAACTACTGAAATGGTTGATATATATCATTTTACATAGCATCTTTAGGCTTTGTACATATTTTATTGTTGCTAGTGCAGTATGATGCTGGATATCATATATCATTCAAAGTATATCAGTGGGTAAAAACAAGGGTTGCTTTTTGACACTTTGTCACGACTGTTTTCTGAGTTCCCTGATGTTGTCTATTACTATGTAAAATGGAAGTGATCGATTTTTTGATCTATACAAACACTTTCACTGTTAATTTTACTCCCAATCTGTGTGGACATGCAGTTATTGTTCTTTCACTGGAATAATAATGTTTTTATGTGGTTATTCCAGGTTTGGCCATCTGTTAGATTTGTACCTGATTAGGATTTGAAAATGGACGTTAAAGATAGGCCAAATTCAGAAAATTGGACTGAGCCTTCAACTTTTGGGAATGAAGTGCAGCAGAATGCATCCCTGAACAATCAACCGTTCACCAATTTTACTTCTCAGGAACCGTCAAAGTGGGAAGATCCTTCTATACTTGATTATAGCATGAGGATAGATTCTTCATTCTCCAAATATAACCCACCTTCAGAGAACTCATCTTTGTTTGTTGGCAATCCAAGTAACCAGGGCAAAATTCCAAACCAAGACGGGGCTCAAATGAATCAGATGCCTGATGGTAGTAACTTTGATCCAAGAGCAATGCTTAATAATCTCTCTTTCTTGGAACAAAAAATCCACCAACTTCAAGAGCTAGTTCATATGATCGTTGGCCGAAAAGCTCAAGTTCCTGGCAACCAAGAAGAAGTTGTTATTCAGCAGCAGCAACACCAGCTCATCACAGCTGATCTTACTTCAATTATAGTCCAGTTAATATCAGCAGCTGGTAGTCTACTTCCATCAATGAAGCATAACCTCTCTGCTGCTAATTCTAGCTTGCTTCTTAATAGGACCCTTTTTCCCTCAGCAACGACTGTTGGTACCAGTATGATATCGCAAAACAACATAGGGCAAGTAAAACAAGTTGTTGGTGAAGTTAAACCAGTTGAGCAGTCAAACCAGGTGGAGGTTACGGCCAATTGTGTATCTGAAATGAACTGCAACAACATGGAAGAAGATCATGAACTAAAAGATGATGATGATGGCAAGGAAGAAGAGCATCTTCCTCCTGGATCATATGAGATCTTGCAATTAGAAAAGGAAGAAATTCTTGCACCCCATACCCACTTCTGTACCATATGTGGGAAGGGTTTCAAAAGAGATGCTAACTTGAGGATGCACATGAGAGGTCATGGGGACGAGTACAAAACTCCGGCTGCACTGGCAAAACCCAACAAGGAGTCTAGCTCAGAAAAGGTGCTTTTGAAGAGGTATTCCTGTCCTTTTGTAGGTTGCAAAAGGAATAAGGAGCATAAGAAGTTTCAGCCTCTGAAAACTATTTTGTGTGTGAAAAATCATTACAAGAGAACTCACTGCGACAAGAGTTACATTTGTAGCAGATGCCATACCAAGAAATTCTCTGTTATTGCTGATCTCAAGACCCATGAAAAGCACTGTGGCAGGGATAAATGGCTGTGTTCTTGTGGAACAACTTTCTCTCGAAAAGACAAGCTTTTTGGGCATATTGCTCTTTTCCAGGGTCATACTCCAGCCATTCCCTCTGAGGAACATAAAGGAACATCCGTGCCATCAAATCTTTCAGATAACAGTGAAACAACAAACACTGTTGCAAATATGGGTTTTAGCTTTGGCTCCAATGGTACTAATGAAAATGGTGCACAGATTATGATGGATGGAAAGGGGAATGTTGATGATCCTTTCTTCTCTCTGCTAAATTACGAATATAGTCTTGGTGGTCTTCAAGATTTTCCACTAACCAATTTTGACGATTCACCAAGTTCTTTTTCGTTCCTCAATTCTGAAGAAAAGGACGGGATGATGTGTGTCAGTAACGACGTTCATTAGTATTGGTTGGTGTTTTTAAGTTTTTTGTGCAGAGGAGCTTCTATCATCCTGACTTGTTTTCAAATTGGATGGACTCAAGCTCCTGTAATTGCTTAGCTTAAATAAATGCTTTATATATGATCATTGCACATTACAGATGTGTCTGCTGCATTCTTTCATTTTTTTTTTCTGAAAGGATGCTTCATTCTTTCATTTATTCGGCTTCAATCTAATGTTGGAGTCACTAACGGGATCAAGCAAGCTAAACGCATGCCTAACTACTACCATCCTTCCATATGATTTTTAAGGTTTCATATACATGATATAGAAGTGATTGTAAATTACAGTTTAGTACGGTGTAACTATCAAAATGTTGAATCGGAAATTTAGGCTGCTGTATTGCAGTTTGTTTAAAAATAAACTGTGAATTATAATGCAGGGTCATCTTCATTCCTTCAGAGTTCAGACCTTTCATATTCTCCAAGAATGTCTTTTGAACTAACAGGCATCAGTCTGCAGGAACCTCGCAGTGAGATAGCTCATAGCTGTGAGTTAGGTCTAGCCAAGCCTAAAGACACATTGGCCCAGTACGAGTCACAACCAATGCACTTATGCACCTAGTTAAAGTTACCGTAAATTCTTTTTCTCTCTTTTTTTTTTTTTTTTTTTTTTTTTTTTTTTTTTTTTTTTTTTTTTTTGAGGAAGTTTGACCAATGTAGTCTTATTTTGTCAATTGTTTAAAAAAAAAAAAAAAAAAAAAAAAAGAGAAAAAGTACAACCTTTTATTTTTTTCTTTTTATTACATAGTAGTATTTATTTTTAGTGTAAGAGAGCCACGTTTTGATTAGAGCTGTCAAAATTTGACCCGACTCGAAATACCGACTCAAACCCGATTATTAACGGACCCATTTGAACCCGTAAAAATGGTGACCCAAACCCGATTTGACCCGACCTGAGACCAACCCCAGACGGCTAAACCCGAGTTGACCCGCGTATGTGAGACCCGAACCCGAACATGAACTAATCTAGAAATGACCTGACCCAGATGAAACTCGTAAATTATTGACCTGAACCGAACCCGACTTGAACCGAAATTGACACAAACCCGTTTTAACCCGTCAAAACCCGAATTTAACCCGACTTGTTACTAACCTGACTTGAATTCAACCCTACCCATTCCTAACCTGACCCGAATTTAACCCAACCTGTTACAAACCCGACCCGAAAACAACCCGACTTGTTATTAACATGACCCAACTTCAATCCGACTTGTTGATGACCCGACTCGAATTTTACCAGACCTATTACTAACCCGACCCAAAAATTCAACCCAATTTGTTACTTACCTGACTCGAAATCAACACGACTTGTTATTGATCCGACCTAAATTCAACCAAAATTGTTCCTGACCTCATTTCAAATCACCTTAAATGCAATTTAGACCACCTTATTATTGTTAATCAAATTATTTTGTTTAGAGAGACCAAGTCGGTCCAGGCCAACAAAAGAAAGGAGCATCATCCTCAAATTTAAGAGTAAATATAGTACTACCTCCGGTTCAATTTACTCGCAATAAAGGGGTATTATTTGTGAGACATAAAATATTCCTTTATTGTGAGTAAATTGAACCAGAGGTAGTATATATTTATTGCATGGTCAAAGGAGATAATTATCTTCCTAAATTATAGACTATAGTTCCCTAGTATATTGCCATATAATATTATAGTCAAAGGAAATAATTAGCTTGATAAAAATGATAATTATTTATTTATAGTTAGTTGAACCCGAATTTCACCTGACTTGGAAATGACCCGACCTAATTGTAACCCGCAAATTATTGACTTGAACATAACCCGACTTGAATCCGAGAATGACCCGACTTGGAAATGAACCAACCTAATTATAACCCGCAAATTATCTACTTGAACTGAACTCGACATGAACCCGAGAATGACCCAACCTGAAAATCACCCGACCTGATTAAAAGCCACAAATTATTTACTTGAACAGAACTCGAATCAAACCCGAGAATGACCCGATCTGATTTTAACCCGCAAATTATTGACTTGAACTGAACCCGGGAATTCCTCTAACCCGTTTTAACCCGTGAAAACCCGAATTAAACCCGACATATTGATCACCCAACCCAAATGTAACCCGACCTAAATGCGACCCAAACACGATAAGAAGTATGACCTGACGTGACCCGACTCAAGCGTGATCCAACCCAAACCCGACCCGCATACATTATGAAATTAATCTGAATTGACCCAAACCGAGTTGACTAGACCCATTCTTAACGACCACAACCCGACCCGTTTACCCGAACCGACAGCTCTACCCAAAACCTCCAATATTTTTCAAAAAAACGTGGATATTAGCCTTCAATTTTGGATTTTTTTGACTTTTTTTCACCCAGAAATAAAAATTGCCGAAATTTTTACCACAATCCCTAATACCCTCCGGGAGTCCAATTAGTTGGGTGGAACCATCCAATTTGCGTTTAAACGACTAATTTACCGCTTTACAACTTGCACAGATTTCATTAACTCAAGCCTACCACGAACATTTATGACAACATATAATAATCATATATGGTTCCAAAAGGCATTATGTAACCCCGAGATGTATCCCCTAAAATCTCAATGCTTTTCGACATCGAGCACCGAAACATTCGAAATTTCTCAAAAATCGTGGATATTTGCCTTCAATTTTGGAATTTTTTGACTTATTTTCGCCCGAAAATAAAAATTGCTGAAATGTTTACTGTTTCGGGGTTTTCTGATGTCCTGCGGGAGAGTTACAATTCCGAGACTGGAACCGGACGCCTATACCTGCAAAATAACGGAGACTCCTGAGAGCTCCGCCTCCAACGGTCAAGTTAGTACCTGATTAAGGAGTAATTAATACGGAAATTAAAGTAATAAGATCTCTCTAGGTGAGAGTGCTTAGTGTTGGTAATCTGCGTCGTAAGCGAGATTAGCCGGTTGTTGGTGTTCCGTAATATCTCTGTTCTTCTCTGCTTGATTTCTTGATTATTCGATTGTTCAATTACCTAACTAATGAGGATTAATTAAGTATTTATAGCCTTGAGAAGCGTGCCACTCTCTAGGTTTAAGGTAAACCTAGGGCTGATCGGGCCTCTAGACTGGATTGGGCCTTGATGGCCGGTTTTCCCATTTGGCATGGGTGGACACGTGGCGTGTCTTAATTGGTCCGTGGAGGACGTATCTGTGATTGACACGTGGCAGGCTCCTGTTGGCCTTCGTGAAGGACACGTGGCGGAACCTGGTTGGTCCACTTGTCAGACGGTGATTGGTGGATAAAAATCCCCTAATCATTTGCCCCTCACAGGTGGCACGTGACTGGTCTCGTGTCGCCTGTGACAGGTGTCGCACGGTGACAGGCGACGGCCTGCTACAGGTGTCACCTTGCAAACGGCCGAGAGATTTTCCCGCCCAAATTTTGAATTTGGAAGCGACCCTTCGCCTTCTCACTTTGCCTATAAAAGGAAGTGCTGACTTCAGTCATTTTCACATTTGAGAACTTTGCGAGAACATTCGGACCCCTGAACTTGCTCTGACATTTCGGACTTTTTCTGCCTACCGCCTGTTCTGACAAGCCGACTGCACCGGACTTCCAGGACTTCATCAACCGTCACTCGTTCAGGTAACTCAGTTCTCTTACCCTTAATTTTATTTTTATTTTTTGAAATGGCACCATGGAAGCACACGACACGACCTAAGTTAGTGATCAGCCGGTCACCGGGGACGGCTGAATCTAGGACTAGGAGTGCCGCCTGCCCTTTTCTGGACCCATCTTTGCCCTTTATACAAAGTCCGACTGTATCTGTGTCTATGCAGAACGTGATGGCCAGAACGAAACAGACTGCTATGATATCAAACTCAGACGGCTCCTCCCAAAGGGTACTCCTTAGTGAAACATCTGACCAGGCGCCAGATGTAGAATTGAAACGAGGCGACTGCCAAGCCGACAGTTCTGAGAGAGGGGCCAAGGTGGTCCCTTCCCATCTTACCGTTGACATGTCTAATTTTCCTCCTGCTCCTTCTAAGGGAGAGGAGGCGGGCCCCTCTAGGAGAGGGGAGGAGTCGTCCTCTTCGGACTCGTCTGAGGACGAGTCCGAGTCCAGCTCTTCTGGCCATAGTTCTCCTGGCTCAGAAGAAAAACATAGCCGCCTACAAGAGGCGAGACTTTCTCACGCAGTTGAGAAAGGGGACAATTGGGCGGAGCCGTCCGCCTCTTACAGAGAGGAAAACGCCCCCTACTACTGCAGGGTACCCCGGGGCCGGATTGCAACCATGCAAGACAACGTGGCGAGCTTTATTGCTAACCACAAAATGGGCCCGGAATTTTTACTGTTCGTGCCGGATCCAGAAGACACTGTCGTCTGGCCGGCTGGTACCAGCTATGGTGACGGCTGCTTTGGCTGCTATGTGGCGGCCATCAAAGCTGGACTGCGCTTCCCATTACATCCGGCTGTTCAGCGGATTTTAGATGGGTATGATCTGGGGTTATGGCAGTTAGCCCCCAACTCTTGGGTAAACGTACTCGGCTATGTGGCCGGGTGCGAAATGTACGGGGTGGAGCCAAGCTTTGAGGCTTTCGCCCACATGAACTATCTCAGCCGGACCCCTAAGTCGGGGGGTACCGGCTGGTACCAATTAACAAGCCATAGGGGTTACCTCATGACGAGAGGTAAGGCGAACAAATGGAAAGATTGGCGGAACACCTTCCTAATTATCGAGGGTTCAGACACGGAGCTGAACAAACGCTTTAACAAGTGGAATAGGGATCCGCCTCTTCTCGCAGGCGGCCGCAGCATGCCGCCTGTTCCCCCAAAGGCTAAAAAAGAGATCCTAGACAAAGGACTCTTCAAAGTAGAGACTAGGGTGAACTCTACTTCAGGGGTACGAGAGCAAGTACCCCTAAACTGCGTCCCGAGCTTCAAGTGGCTCTATGACGAGTACTTTTTGGCCGCCTGTGGCCTCGGCAGTCGGTGCTCTAGAGGTAGCCGGCCTGACAAATACTCTGTTTTTTCACGCCTTGTTTACTTGGGATTTTTACTAACTTTGTTGTTTATTTCTTGCAGCTGACGCCATGAGTAAAATAACAGCATCCAAGACTGCGGCGGCCATGTTGCGGGCCTCGCTCATGAAGCAGTCGTATGCCGACTCCCCCAACAAGGAGGCACCCTTG